GGCCGCCATCTTGGCTGACAGTTAATTTGCATAAGGATATGCTGATTAGCCAATGGGAAGGGTAGCGGTCGTACGCTAATTACCATGTTTCTCTTTTATTAGTGTAGATATGCATAGCCTATGAACACAGACAATAGTGTGGTGAAGGCCTCTGGGTGGGGGTAGAGGGGGTGGGTGTATGGTACTATTGGGGAAAAAGGGGGATAGCTCTAATACATTCAACAATAAAGGTAAATTAAAAAAAAAAACACAACGATGTGGTACAGGCTTCTGGTCAAGATGGCAGTGCAGGTAGCCATGGTACTTGCATCCTTCCATAACCACATCAAAATTAAAACTAAACTACAGAAGAACTATCATTCAGAACCACCTGAAATCTGGCTGAACAGAAGTCCTACAAATAGAGAATTAAAGAAGAAGCCACATTGCAAATGGTAAAAAGGGTGGAGGTACAGAACGGGCTGGTCCAGCACACACGTATGGTGTTCTTTTAACTGGGAGGGATATCTTAGCTGGGGAGATCTCCTGTGAGGAGCACAAGGTCCCAGACCCCCCAGACCCTGGATCAAATGCCTGAAAGAGAAATCCCTGTAACTTTGGGCTTAAAAAAACCTGTGGGAATTGTGGCTTAAAGACATGAAGGCTGCTGAAGTCCCAGGCAGTTGCTCTTAAAGGGCCAATGCATGGACTTCCTTGGTCTCACTCCCTCTGAGCTCCAGCACTGGGAAGTAGCTTGAAAGGATCCAGAGACATATTGGGAGGAACTATATTATCTGGCATCAGGGCAAGGACTTGGGGGGTTGGCAGCTGTCTCCCAGACAAAAGTACTGACAGAGGTCATTGTTCCTTTGCTAAGACCTTCCTGCCACAGAAAAAATATGCAGTTGCCATATCTGAGTCTCCATCAACCTGACCCACACTGTTTGCCCCACCCTGGTGATTCCCTGAGACCCTGCCCCACCCAATTTGCAACCCTACCCAAGCTGTTTCCAGGGGCTTTTCCATATGAATGGCCTCTCCTAGCTCAGGCTTCCTAAAATCTCTCAAAAAAACAGCTTTCCTCAGTATGCCCATACCTCTTGATAAGTGGCCTCAGGCCTGACACTAGCAGCAACCTGCCTTGTTCACAGCCTAGCCTCCCTGGACACCTCCTAGGCCAGTGGTCGGCAAACTCATTAGTCAACAGAGCCAAATATCAACAGTACAACGATTGAAATTTCTTTTGAGAGCCAAATTTTTTAAACTTA